TCCTGCTGAGCATGCTGATACCTCTGAAGACCTCAGTTAAATTCCAAATTCTCCTCTGCCTAACTTTGATTCTGCAAGAAGGGGGGATGTCTCGCTGAAGAGTTGCAGAATGGAGCATCGTTGCACCTTTACTGGAGATTCTGTGAGCTTAGTATCACAGCCTGCGCACATTTCAGTTCTGCACTGGAGCCGTGTAGAGCCTCTGGTTGTGATTTGGGATTAACTTGTATTTGTTTTTTTTTCCAGCAGTGATTAATTAGCTCTTAGCAAGGTTGTTGATGACTTTCTGATTGCTTTATCCCTCAGTAAATCTTTGGGGAGAACTAGTTCACTAAGAAATTAATTAACAATCTCAGTATGTGCTGTCTCAAATCCATAGGAAAGGTTAAAATTATTTCATCTGATCACGTGTTCCTTTATGTCTTGTTCAAGGCCAGAAGTAGGTAGGCAGGCACCTAAATCCATTTTTGTATTTAGCCCTTAGGATTTTGGAAAGGAAACAAGTGAGGAATATTAGTCCAAGAAGTGGTGGAGCCCTGGTAGACGTAAAACAAAGGTCACCAAGGAGGAGCTGCTGTTAAGAGGAAATATATTTCTTTGTAGCTGCTGTACACCAGCTGGTATGAAAATGCTTATGAAATCACTACTTGTCTGAGAAGAATTAGCTCATTTCCTACATGACATGAACAAAAGTTTTTGTATTGAACATGGAGAATCACACTTGGATACATTCATTAAACTGCTACCCTCATATTACTGCCTTGGAGACAATGGCTGTTTATCACTGTTAGTATTAGCGCAATACCAAAGTTGTGTTTGATCTTAAGACATAAAATAAGACGTAACAAGGTAGGTTAATTCTGGACTCTTCTATGGATCTCAGTTAACGTGCTTGTTAATTAATTAATTAGTGCAGAAATTCTCAGGTAACAATTGAGGAAAAAAGCAATCAGAAAAACACCATCAACTTTGCTAAGAATTATTAATCTTTTTTTGAGAAAGAAATACGAGTTTGATTTCGATTTAAAATGACAAAAAGCTTTAAACATCTCCATTGCATTTGGGCACAGCTTTGTGCTTTAAGGCACTGAGAACTGGTGGGATTACTGAGTGGCTTTCCTCTCATTGGGATCACATTTAGAATAGCCTTAATACTCATCTACAGCTGGTGGGATTACTGAGTGGCTTTCCTCTCATCTGGATCACATTTAGAATAGCCTTAACACTCATCTACAACAAACTAAGGACACTGATTTGGATATTTGCA